ATATTATTCCTATACTCACTAGAGAAATGAAGACAAAACAAATTAAGATATTGTAAAGCAAATCCACGGCATAAGTTCAAGGTGAAGTGAAAGATGTCATTTTGAATACGTAAGACTTTTAAGGCAGAAAAAGCACCAGGATTTCCACATGAAATAATATCTATATTTAGAAAGTATATGTGATGGTCAAGGGGCTGCAAAGTTGCATCTTTTAATGTTGGTAATTGAGGTTGCTCATAATTATCCTGAAGAGACTGTGTGGGTGTTGGATCAATAGTTCATATCTTGTGTTCATCACTAACCTTCAACAGTCCATGTGTTAAACTCCAAATGAACTGTTCTTAAATTTCCTTGAAAAACTGCCATGAGTTCTCATTTTTCCTGTTTTAATTTCATATATAGTAGCTGATCAGGTTATATATGTGTATATCTGCAAGGTTAAACAAGGTATTTAAATTTCCTGTGGTTTAAGATTATCCAAATAGCAGCTTAACTGTAGGCCAGAGAATATAGCTAAATAAATTAGTTTGATGTAATTGTGTGCATTTATATGTAAGCTACAAAGCACATGTAATTAATGAAGCACATAATGCAAACCATTAGCAGCACTAAATGATCTGTTTATCATTTACATCAAATAATCTTTTCCCATTAAAATGCTGGCATCCCATAATAAGCATAAGCCCCTCGTCTCAAAATTAAAATACTGATTTTCTGGATTCTCTTCACAATAGTAATGATAACAAAATTCTAGAAAAAGGAAAATACAACAATGATGAAATGCATACTAGGTTTTATACATAATAGGGTTGTTTTCTTTTTTAAATTAACCATTGGCTGCATTAGATCATACAGAAAAATTAACTGATAAAATAACTGACTTTCTCTTTTGGAGATCCCTCTCAGTTTAATTTACATGTTGATTGTGTAGCTGGGGGGAAAAAGTGTCACAAGTTAAATTTGATTAAGTAAAGCAGAAAGTGCCTTACAGTAAATAGATATCTGAAATTGGAGAACACACTTCATCTAATTGTATTAATGAAGTACACTGATGAGGTTTGTTTAGTAACAAAAGACCCTTGTGACCTTTTGATTTAGTGTAAAGTAGAACGCTTATTATATCTGGATATTTTTACAGCATTCTCATTGTACTCAGTAAAGTCAAACATTTTTATAGCACTTGGTCACAGTGAGAGAATAACAGAACTGTTAAAAGACTTTTAAATTAGCTGAAATGGCAGTGATGTACAGTATTTATGAAGGTTTGCCCTTACTGTTGTTTTGGTAATGCTAGAAGCACTCAATTCTAAATTGAATACAGGAACAAAGATAATCTAACACTTTCTTCTTAAAACTCTGATCAGTATTTTAAAAGCATTTCTTATCATTGTCACCTATTGTCAGTTTCATAATATTTAAAGAGCTAATATAACACTTGCTTGCACTTTCTTTGAAATGAGTACAGATTAAGTGCTGACTTCGTCCCTTTACACTAATAACCCCTGTAGTCAGTCCAGCCTTGGTCCTTAGCTGCTTTAAATTTGAATAGTTCTACTGAAGTAATATTTAATGTTATAGGTTGAACTCTTTCACCATCCTCACCTATGATAAATACAGCCACATATAACCTTACTTCCAAACAAAAAAACTTGATATTTCATAAGCTAATCTTCTATCCAGTATATATCAACATAGAATTATTCTGAGAGATTTTCAGAAATATCACAAAAGTGTTAAATAAATGGAGGTCTAAGGGCTCAAACTGTTCTCAGCAACTAAGATTTGGGGGCTGAGGGGGAGATAGATATAATGGTGTAATATTGTGTCTAGGCATCCCCCCTGCCGAGTTCTGGACAAAGGCAATACATTTAATTTCTGTGTTTGGCAATTAAATGTTTTGACTTCATAAATGTGCTACATGAGAGAAAAATGTGATTCTGAGAAAAGCATCTGTACCAGAAGACACTACCATTGTTTTGAGTAAAATCACCATTTTAATCTAAATAAGTTATGTTTCTCCTTAGATTCAAGTAGTCCCTGAGTATTAGCAAATCTTTTTCAACATTACATGACCCTTGTGTTCTGCCCCAACATAGACAACACTTTTCCATACTTTGGCTTCATTGATTACTGCAGCATCACCATCATATTGATCTCCTTCTCCCTCTGCTGCAGTACAGCAACTAAAATTATTCTTCTGGTCCATCTATTAGACCTCATTACTAGGGCTGTGCAAAGCTCTAGACCAGGATTCAAATTCAGAAATTATTCAGATGATTCAGAGACCAAATCTGTGAGTGCAAATCAAATCGCTAGGTGCTTTTGGCTTTCTGAATCAATTTGGTGCTTCTGAATTCATTCAGAAAAGATTTGGAAAAGATTCAGCAATTCAGGGATTCAGAGGGCTGTTTGTATGGGGAAACAGAAACTTAGAAGAGGGAAGAGGAGTGGGGGGAAGGGGGAGCAGGGGGGAAGGACTGACATGTCTAGGGTGGCCAGTGAGCATGATTTCTCTTTGACTGCCCTTCCAATTACAGTGTCTGGGGGAAGAGACTTGGAACAGCATAAAAGCCTCTGTCTGTAGGCTTGCTGTTCCTTTTGTAAGCTGGTTCTGAGTGAGCAACTGCATCAGAAAGGTAGTGGACTTCCTGACTTGCTTCATAGTCAGTCAGTTGCAACTTGCCTGCTCCTTTTTGTTCTTAGAAAGGATTGGATAGGATTTAGCTTAGCTTAGTTTAGCTTATCTTAGAATCTCTTTACTTAATATTATCCAATTCATTTCTTTCAAATCGTATTTGCTCTCTCTTTTTTTTTGCAAACTTTTAAAAAAGAAAGCTCAGCGTTTTCCCTGGCAGTGTGATCCGTCACTGTGCAGGGAGGCACTCACATTACATTCACTTATATACACATATACAAGAAGAAAAATCAGATATTCATAGAAGAGATGGTGTAGCTATTACATTAGTTATTAATATTATTAGTTATAGTTAATTTTAATAGTTTACATACTGACTAAAGAGAACACAGGAGAAGTCAGATAGATTCAGAAAGAACAAGATATTTTAGGTACATTACACAGAACAGTACTGTAAAGAAACACAACTCAGAAGAAGAAGAGGGAGAAGTCAGACAGTCACCCATTCAGAGTTAGGGCAGAGACTATACAACCAGAAAACAACACAAACACGCACCATATACTTTAGTTACAAGCCAGCAACAAGCAAGCCAAAAGCAAAGCATACAATTCACACAAGGTAGAAGGGAAGAAGCCCTGTACTCACCCAGTCTGAGTCAGGGCGCAGACCACACAACTGAAAAACAACACAAACACACACACTGTATACTTTAGTTACAAGCCAGTAACAAGCAAGCTGCAGTCTACAGACAGCAAAGCAAACAATTCACACAAGCTAGAAGAAGTCAGACAGACACAACTTTTGCAGCACAGAAAAGATTAAAATGAAGCGTGCTGGAAAGGCAGGTGCCAGGTCTTCTGGCAGGTGAGGGAGAGGGGGTAGGGGGACAGCTTCAGCTGCAAGTCCCCATCCCCCCCTGCCCCAAGCATAGACACATTCTCTTCCCAAGCACCATAACGCTTCTGCTGCCAGTGGAAGGCAAGGAGGTGGGAGCAGTGTCTGCACCTGACATCCCTGCACCTGCACCACCTCCCCTATGTCCAGAAATAGGCACCAGCAGCGGAATCATTGTCTCCTGCACCCCAATGTCATCACCCAGTGTAAGCCTCGCGCTGCCAGAGGAGGAATTGGAGCTGGAACCCGGGGACCTAAGTGCCCTGGCTCAAGCAATTCTGGGGACCGAGGGAGAATAAGAGTTTGTGCTCCACAACCCTCAAAGTTCCCCTAGACCCAGATCTCCTTCTCCAGAAAGCAGTACCTCAGAGGAGGTTGATATTGTGGAGGCAAGTGGCTCAGCTGAGACAGCTCCTCCTGCTGTTGAGCCTCAGCCTGCTGAGGAGTGGAATAATGCAGCATTCCCCATCCTCAAACCAGAAGCAGGGGAGTAGCATAGTGTGGGAGCATTTTGAGCTGGCAGATGATCCCAGGTTTGCTATCTGCCAGCACTGCCAAAGGCACATCAGCCAGGGCAAGGACATGAAACGTTTTTCCACCACGGCGATGCTGCTCAGGAGGTAGCACCCCCTTGCCCTTCTTGCTGCTCAGCCTGGTACCAAAGCAAGCATGCCAAAAGGGAAGTCCTCCACTCACTCCACAGCCCCCTTTCCCCCAAAGCAGAGACAGGCCACCCTGGAACAGTGGGGGAAAGGTGAACAGAAAGGGGGGTGAGTTGCAAAGGTGAGCAAGATCACCCAGAGCACTGGGGAGATGCTTGCTTTGGATAGCCAGCCCTTCTCCCTAGTTGAGTGGCCAGGGTTCAGGTGGCTCATGGCACTTCTGGCCCCATCTTACAAAGTGCCCGCATGCACCGCTTTTAGCAGGACAGTGGTGCCCTTCCTGTATGAGTCATGCAGGGAGTACTTGAGGGAGGAGCTGCACAAGGCAGGGCCACAGGTAGCCTTGCACTTCACCTCCGACATCTGGAGCAGCCAGGGTGGCGAACATGCCTATCTCTCCCTCACAGGGCAGTGGTGCAATCAGTCAAGCCATCAGTGGGCTCTCCTCCAAGCTGAGGTGCTGGATGAGTCCCACATGGCAAGGGAGATCATGGGGGCCATGAACCACATGGTGCAAGGTTGGCTCATTGGACAGGCCAAGCTCACCCACAGGTTTATGGTCAAAGAGGCCAATATGGTGAAGGCTGCCCATGATGCCAACTTTGTTGGCATCCACTGTGTGGCACACAGGATGCACCTCATAGTCAGGGATGCCTTGCAGGGGGACAGAGCTGCCGGTGATGGTGCCACCACCACTACTGCTACAAGCCAGGTGATTTCAAAATGCAAAAAGGTGGCAGGCTACTTCCACTGCAGCATCAAGGGGGGCAAGATGTTGTGGGAGAAACAGGCAGAGTTGAACATCCTGCAGCACAAAATCATGCAGGATGTAGAGACTCGGTGGAACTCCACATACATGATGCTTGAAAGGCTGGTGGAGCAACAGAAGACCATCCATGAGATGGCCTTGCTTGGGGAGATTGGGATCAGCAGCCCCCTGAACAGAGCTGAGTGGGGTACCATCTCCCAAATCTTGGTGGCCCTTCCTCGAGGCCACTGAGACCCTTAGTGCTGGCGATCCCCTCCTTAGCCAGATGATCCCCCTAGTGAGGGAACTTTAGAGCCAAATGGAGAAGTTCCAGGGGATCAGTGTTCCTGGCTGGGGCAGGCTGCTGTCACCAGACATGCAGGCACTGGTGAGGCAGCTGAAGGAGGGCATCAGGAGATGGCTGGATCCCTTGCAGTCCAGTACGGTCCACATGCTGGCAGGCATGTGTGACTGTAGGGTGAAGGGGAGCATGCTCACTGCTAGCACCAAAACCCTCCATCATTGAATGCAGGTGCTGGTCAACAAAGTCAGGGAGGCTGAATTGCAGAGGTGAGGGGATGTGGAAGAGGGAGATCCACTTTCCCGTGCCAGCAGTCCCAGAACCAGCCCCAGCCAATCTCCTTCACACCAGCCACTGCCAATGTGGGCCATGGGCATGGCTTCAATGTTGGGATCCAAACACACCAGATCGCAGCCTCGGGCAGGTAGTGTTAGGGCTTTCATGGCTACCTATCTTTCTGAGGGTGTGGAGCCACTGGACTCTGACCTCTTAGCCTATTGGGCAAGCTGCAGCCAGGTGTGGCAGGATCTGGCCATAGTTGCCTGGCAACACCTGTCCTGTCCACCAACCAGTGTTCCAAGCGATAGGGTGTTCAGCATTGCTGGGGATGTTGTAACAACACACTGCACCTGCTTGGACCCTGCTTTGGTGGAGCAGCTGGTATACTTGAAGATGAACCTCCCACTGCTGGGGTTCCCTATGATACACTTGCAGTTGGACCGAGTGCCACGCTCCTCGCTCTGTCTGTACCAATTTCCTTTTTCCTTCCTACATCCCCCTTCACCCCAGCCTGTCCCATAACCCCCTGATGCCTCCATTTCCATTTTCACTGACTGGCTTTCTTGCCTGCATTGCATGTCAGGCCAGCCTCTGGCTTCTTTACTATTCCTTCCATCCAGGACCAGGAGACACGCCAACTGCAGGTACTTCCTCAGCCTGACAAAGGGTTTTTCAACTCAAAAGCTTCCTAAGATATATTTTTTTAAGTATTCCTTTTTTTCATAATAAACTTATAGACATAAAAACATAAGATAAGCCATCACACCCCACAAGTAAGATCATATATCCAATAAAACATAACATCTTTACTTCTTGCTGTCAATTCCTTTGGAAAAAGAAAGGCTCTGTGACAGTTCTGTTTGGGTACCTTTGATGCTGCTGCTGATGCTACTGGTGTTGAGCCAGTTAAGTTATTTTGACTTGCCATCATTTACAGTGGTGGACCAGACTGAGACTGTAGGGGAGGAGGAGACCTTACTGGGGCACACTGCTGTGTTGTGCAGAGGCCCCAGAGCCAGGAAGGGTGCACCTGAACACAAATGTACACATACACACACAGATTTGCACAGTGACAGCACACCTTAACAGACTTGCTGGAGAAGAAGCAGGTCCTAGTTGAGAGGAACGAAGGACTTTCTGACAGTTTGACTACCTGAGATGCTTCTGGTGCTACTGCTAGTACTCAGTGAATCACTAAGTTATTTTACCTGTTGTCATGTAAAGTGGTGGACCACGATGAGGCTGTAGGGGACGAGGAGACCTCACTGGGGCACACTACCATGTTGTGTAGAGGCCTCAGAGCCAGTGAGGGCGCACCTTAACACACACACAGTATCACCCACCCATGTCATGAGTTTTTCCTGTTAGCAGCCAGAGTTGTAGGGCTCCAAAACCCAGGCTCCCCCGCACCTATCTCCTTGACAGCTGGCAGGCTTTGTGGCTGCAGGAGGGCCTGGAAGGTGTGTAGTAGTGTTTTTTACCCTGCTTTGCCCTAAGACAGACACATCTGGCAGGCTTCATGGCTGCAGCAGGGCCTGGCAGGCCTGCAGTAGTTTTTTTTCACCCCACTGCCCCCTAAGAGAGAGGCAGTTACACAAGCACTCATGTCATGAGTTTTGCCTGTTAGCAGCCAGAGGTGCAGGGCCCCAGAAGTCAGACTCCACCTGCACATATCTCCTTGACATCTAGAAGGCTTCGTAGTCACAGCACAGCCTAGCAGGCCTGCGGTTTTCACCCCACTGTGCCTTAACACACACACAGTGTCACCTATGTCATGAGTTTTGCTTGTTAGCAGCTTGAGGTGCAGTTTCCCAGAAACCCCTTCATCTGTCTCCTTGAAACTTGGCAGACTTTGTGGCCTCATCAGGGGCTACCACTTCTGCAGTTTTCACCTCACTGTGGCATAATACACACATATGACATGGATTTTTCTTCAAGGTGCAGTTTCCCAGAAACCCCTGCATCTGTCTCAAAGGTTTCATAGATTTCATAGACATTAGGGCTAGAAGGGACCTCAGAAGATCATCGAGACCAGTCCCCTACCCCAGGGGCAGGAAGTCAGCAGGGGTCATAGGATACCAGCAAGATAAACATCCAAATTTCTCTTGAAGGTGTTCAAAGTAGGTGTTTGAACCACTCCTGGTGGCAGTCTATTCCAGACCCTGGGGGCTCGGACTGTAAAAAAGTTCTTTGTTATGTCCAGCCTGAAATGGTCCTGAAGGAGTTTATGACCGTTTGACCTTGTCATCCCCTGGGGAGCTCTGGTGAACAGACGTTCCTCCAGATCCTGGCGAGCACCCCTGATAAACTTATAGGCAGGCACCAGACCACCCCTGAGCCTTCGCTTTTGTAGGCTGAAGAGTCCCATGGCTCTCAGCCTCTCCTCATAAGGTCTATTTTTCTGACCTCTGATCATGCACGTGGCTCTCCTCTGCACTCTCTCAAGCTTCTCCACATCCTTTTTGAATTGTGGAGCCCAAAACTGGATGCAGTACTCTCAAGTATTCTTGAGACTTGGCAGGTTTTGTGGCCTTATCAGGGGATACTACCCCTGCAGTGTTCACCCCACTGCGGCTTAACAGACACACGACATGAGTTTTGCTTGTCAGCAGCTTAGGTGCAATTTCCCAGAAACCCCTACACCTGTCTTGTTGAAACTTGGCAGGCTTTGTGGCCTCACCAGGGGCTACTACCTCGTCAAGTTGCATCCAAATCAGACAAAAAACAACACAGTTATAGATATTTCATTGATTCCCCATTATGCCCTATGGCCGAATTTTTTAATTGGCTCCAAATTGAAGCGGAAAACTGATTTGGAGCTCCGAATCGAATTGCTGGCATCCGAATCAGCTGAATCCAAATCTGAATGGAATAGTTCTCTGTTCACACAGGGCTACTGATTACTGGATATTCAAAATTCTTTCTGATACTGATCTTCTTAAAATTTCAATTATAAAATCTTTGCCTCCTAAGTTTTTCTCACATTCACCCCAGACTATATCATAGATTATGTTTCTTCATGTTTCTTACAGCGTCAACATTGCCATTTCATCTCAATTTCTATTAATATTTATCTCCATTTTTGTGCCTTTTTACATGCTGGATGGACTAACTCTAATCCCCATTGTCTCTTATAGTCAGATAATCCATACCATCTTAAAGACTCCTTCCATAAGGTTCTATAACTGATATGTCTTCAACTTTCCAATGTGTAAGTCATGATAATGAAATTGGCCAAAAGTTTTAAAGAAAGACAGTTACTTACAGAAACTTGTGAAATTAGCATTTTCTCTTGCTTTAAGTCAAGTGGGCATCTCTCGCCCATCAATGTAGCTTTTATCCCAAGAGTAAAATGAACCATCTTAGATGCCAAAGCTTTCAGCGAATTTGACAGCCTTTACAACTACAGAGAAAACAAAGACCTAAATGTCACTTCACTTATCCAAATCAGGTCAAAACTATTGGTATATTACTGTAAAGATAAATAAGAAAGCTTGTAGGCCTACAGTTGATAGCTCAGTATGTCATTTCCTTTTGTTTAGTGCTCCAAACTCATTTGAAGTAAAATTCTCCCTTGTTGGTGGCAGCTATATTTTGGGATGGAATTACATAGATGCCTGCTAGCTGTCTATCATTTAGTTACAGGAGAATCATGATGAAGCAATGGAGGACGGTTCTGGGTTAAGAGTTTAATCCTCAACGCAAAATATCCATCTAAGGATCTGACTACACTAACTCTTCATATTCCCTTACAGCCACTCTGTACTGACTAGCATTATATAAAAGTATGATTTCTAGAGCAACATTTGAAATTCCATCCTGTTTTAGTTAAGCTACGTTATGTATCGTAACTTTGCAACAAGTTTTTTGGGGTTTTTTTCCTCCAGAAATATTCAGGCTATGGCACCATATTATAACAGAAAAAAAGTGTGAAGCTCCTAAAAATAGGTTTATAGTATTTGCATTCAGTAGCAATTTGGAATGTTTCGTGAATAATTATTAGTTTATATTTTTGTTCTTTTAATAGCTATATTAAGTGATGCAGTAAAAGAAATCTGAGCAAACATTTTAAGAATATAATGAGGCACTTCGAGTTTATTTTTGTAAGAGTCTTTCAGTATTGTGTGCTGCCATGCTGAAAGTTGAGAGACAACTAGGCCTGGGAGAACTAGGCCTGCAAGCAACTTCCAGGAAGGGTTAGAAATCAATCATCTTAAAAAAAATGTTGTTTTTGTAGTCATGCTCCAAGAAATGTTTCCCTTGTATTAAGGGAGAAACAGAAAAAGGAATTAGCTAGATTAGTTAACATGGACATAATAGAAGAAGTAGAGCAACTATCTGCTTGGGTACATTCACTAGTCATAACAGAAAAGAAACATGGATCCTTGAGATTATATCTGGATCTTAAGCAAATGAACAAATACATCAAAAGGGAGCATTTTCCCATTCCCACCAAGGAAGATGTTTTTGGCAATGTGATAGAAGCCTAAACCAGAAGTCATATTTCTCCACTGGGGATGCCTCTTCAGGGTTTTGCCTAGTTCCTCTAGGAAAGAAAAGCACTAGATCATACACCCTTTAGAAGGTATTGCTTTTATGGCTTCCTTTTGGACTGTGTCCATAAAAGATGTTGTACAAGCCTTTACTGGATCTTCTATGTCATTATTTATGTTGGGCCAAAATAAAGCATTCCTTACTCTCCTTTTGCATTTTTCAGTGCCTAGCTGCCCTTCATGTATTCTGTTTAACATGTCTTTCTTTAGCACTGCTGGAACAAGTCATGACCCTTTGATCAAAATGCCATCCAGTGCTGACAGCTCTTCCTTGAACAGAGAGCAGGGGCTAGGTATGTTTTACAGGCCAACCAGCACAAATAGCTGTTATCAGTTTTTGCAATGAGGTGTCCTGAGCAGTAGCTTCTACAATTAGTGCCCACATTTTATCTGAGACAGGAATCATTCTTTTAATTATATTAACATGTACTATGAATCTGGAATTCTGTCATTTTCTGTTGTGTCATATGCTCTGGACAATGTATCTGCAATAAGTAGGTGTTTTCCTGGCATGTACCATATGTCTAGATCATACATTTGCAGTTGAAAGAAAAGTCTTTATAATCTGGGTGGCATGTCTGATAACCCTTTCTTTGTGATAGTTATCAAAGTTTTATGATCAGTTTCAGCTATCACTGACTTCCCATAGATGAATATATGAAATTTCTTAGAGCCATATACTAGAGCTAAACTTTCATTCTCAATTTGTGCATATAGACACTCTGACGTAGAGAGTGCTCTGGATGCACATGCTACAGACAGCCCTTGGACTTATGACATAATTGCTTCCAGAAAACTGTGTCTTAAGTCAAAAAATTGTAACTCAGAACCAATTTTCCCATAGGAACGATGTTATAAATGGGGGATTGGTTCCTGAACCCAGGCCCAATACCCTATTTTCACCCAAAATAACCCAGAATATTGTACTCTATCAATTATAGCTGAGTAATATAGTGACATTAATATATTTATATTGTAAATAGCAATCATATTGATTAGGAAGGACTTCTCTGAGGCAATTTTGCTGGAGTTGAGGTGACTTGTTGATGGGCTCTTGGTTGGACTTTTAAAGGGTTCTTGGCTGGAGTCTTCTCAGGAGTCTTGGCTGCAGGTTTTTCTAGAGTCTTATCTTCTTTCTTAAAGAAAGTGTCCAAGGGAGTTTGGACAGATGTTCTCCAGAGAAACGGGTGATGCCATGAACTTGTTCGCTATTGTGGTGTGGCGTAACATCAGATCAAGTGTCATAAAAACAAAACTGATGTCAAAAAGTCAAAACAGTGTATCAATTTATAAACATTGTAAGTGCCATTTGTTGTAACTTCAAACATCTTAAGTTGAGGACTGCCTGTACTGGTTTCTAGCTACCCCAGTGTTTTTGAAGCAAAGCTGCTCCAATGCCCTGTTGACAATTTAATCGGCCTCTTAGGGTCATCGTATTTTAGCACCAGAACTTTCATTATTCTTTCCTTCGAGTTTTTAAATTCAGCTTCATGTTCCCATGTCCCCTGAGCATTTTTTTGTAGGAGTGATCTATGGTGTCTGGTTTGCTCTGCTAAGTTAGGTAGATATTTCCCTACAAAATTGATCATTCCCAGTAATTTTTGCACTCCTTCCTAATCTGTAGGTGGTGGCACGTTTGTAATGCCCTTAACCCTTGCAGGATCAATTTGCACCCCTTTCTCAGAGAGCTATTTCCCCCAATAAGTTATTTATTTGACCCTGAATTTGCATTTTTGTTTGTTCAGTTTCAAATCTTCTCTGTGAGATGTTATCAGTGCCTCTTTTAGTCTCAAGTCATGTTCTTCTATAGTATTTCCCCAAACTATTTTATTCCCCAAATTTATATTAGTATTTCCCCAAACTAGTACATCATTGTCAGTATAAACCATAGTCCCATCGAGTTCCATCATAATTCCATCAAGACCTTCAAAACATGCCTGAAGTACAGATCAGTGCAAAGAAAAGAGCCCATGATGGTCATGGAGGAGCCCATAGCTCCGGAGTATTAAGTGGATATTGTTGTATTCACACATGCAGGAAAAAATACACATTAGTGCTGGATTATTATTCTCACTATCCTGAAACTGCAATGATCAAAATCACAACCACAAACCATGTCATCATAAATCACATCAAACTGACTTTTGCTAGATATGGGATTCCACAAATTGTGAGAAGAGTCAACGGACCTCAATTCAATGGTTTTGAATTTAAAGAGTTTGCAAAAAAATATGGATTCCATCACCAGTTTCAAGTCCTAAATACCCACAATCCAGTGGTTTAGTAGAAAATGGAGTACAAATAGTGAAGAAATTATTGAAAAAATCTACAGATTCACACACCAATGTTTACCTGTCACTTTTAAATTACAGGACAACACTAACGAAACATGGATTAACTGCAACAGAAATGCTGTTTAACAGGAAACTCAAAGCCATGCAGCCAATTCTTATGACTGATGCTCATCAAAATGAAAAGCAAGATGTGAAAACATTTAAACAATTCAAGAAACTCAAACAAAAATGGTACTATGACAGGGGTTCCAGGGAGTTGCCACAACTGCACAACAAAGATATGGTTCTTATTTCAGATGGAAGAAAGTTGAAACAAAATGCCCTAGTTTCCCATCAAGTAGCTCCTAGATCCTACAAAGTAGTCATACCAGAAGGACAGGTTTTAAGAAGAAACAGGCAACACTTGCAGCTCATAAAGGAGAGAAAAGAAGCAGCATCATGAGATTCACCAAAGGAAACAGACCTAATATCAAACCAACAAGAAATGACAGAGGACATTGAAAATGACACTGAAGTAGAGACATCTCAAGGAAACCAAACAAGAATGGAACCAATAAGGATTGAGAATGCAGAGAAAATGAGATTACTTAGAACTAAAAAGCCAACACAAAGATTAATAGAGACCTGTTAAAATGCGCTTTAACTATGGGTTGAACTAAACTTCCAATATTAGTATTATATGGGGATAAGTTGCATGTAAATGGGAAAGATGTGTGGATACTGTGACGAGGGACTGATCATAAAAAAATACTTATCACAGGGAAAGAGACCAAATGGAGTAAAGACACAACAAGAGCAGGAGAGTGACACTTCCAAGGAAGCTGCTCCCTTAAGATAGAGAACCCCCAGGAGGGGCAGTTCAGAGCATGGAGAGACTACGGGGAAGAAAAAAAACTCTAAAGGACTGTGGGGAGCGAAGAATCCCTGGAACCTGACCCGGGTGGAAGAGAGGACTTGACCGAATGCTATTAGGAAGGCACTGGGAAAGTAAGTTCATCTTTTAAAAAAAAAAAGATACTCTGAAGAAAAAAGGAGCGTTGGCCCAAGCTGTGAGAAGGAGGAAACAGTGATAATCCTTCAGGTCTGAGCAAAAGTTAAACTTGTTTCTTTTTGTGTTTGGACATTGAGCTGAGCCAGTTGGGCTCTAGGGGTTTTGAGGAGAGAAAGAGCCTGATTGATGGCTATTCCCTCACTGTTAAAAAAAAAGAAAAAAGAAAGAAAAAATGGGAGTGTTCTGAGGGAGTTAGTGAAACCAGTTCACACCTGGAGATAAAGGGAAATATAAGGAAATGACATATACAAAAAAATAAAAAGTATCCTGGTTGCATTTGAACTTTTCAGTTAGCTTTGCCCTAAATGATATGTTATCTGAGTCTTTATCTAATTAAATATTCCTAATGTAAAAAATTAAGAGTTGCATACAGTGGGAAATAACTGTGATATGTCTGATTGTGAGCTGTTCGTAGATGTAAAAATAAAGAAAGAAAGAAAATAAAGAAAACTGCATAACTCAAATAAGACTCATGTCATTGATGACATTATTTTTTAGTATCATCAAGAGAGGTACAGGTGAATTGATAACCCAGATAAATCTCTACATAGATTGCCACTGTCTAACTGCGGAAAAGAAATTTAAGTAACGCTTCCCAACTAATAACATATAAATTAATCAAGATGTGGAAGGCGAGAGTCGGAATATATGCAGGAGTCACAAGGCTGGGCAATGTAAGAAATAAGGGATAAAATAAGATTTCAGACAGAAGCAGTACCACCACAGATACCTTTAAGAGCATTATGTTTAAACTGTTACATTGGCCCAGGGATTGCAGGAGGGAACAGATGAACTGTAGGCAAGGTACTGCTCTCTGAATAAACAAGCGTTATCATTCTATAGCTTAACTCCTTGGTCTTCTGAGAACAACATACTATTATATATATTACATTGATAATTCACCTATTTGAGGAAAGCAGTTGATATCCCACATTAGAGAAAATATTCTGCAATGCAACATTGCCAACTCAAACACTTAAAGAATCAAGAGTCAAACCCTTCCAAATCCAAACGACTGGCTTTAAAACCTTCCAAGCAGTAAGTCCTTCCACTTTTACACTGGTATAACTGAATAGGAGTATTTCCTGTGGAATCATTCGTGGATTGGGAAATTAATGCAAATTTTCAGTCCAGGTCATAAACATATCCAGCCCTCTGTATTTTCAAGCCTGGTAGAAATAACATTAACTGTTTTACATGGTATACAATGCCTTTGAGACAAAGCTGCTCAGACTGAATAAAGAGACAGATGAAGTCAAACTCACTCTGGAATCAATAATTGACATATACAAAGAGTACCTGACAGCATTGTGTACAAATGATGAGTAATACTGTGTACGCTTAACACTTGTATAAACTATTGTTATATAGTATTGTAGAGGTGCTGATGGGTTTGCTTAGGGCTTGCAAACCCAATCAGGGTGTTTGCACCATTGGGATGTGGATTTGCAGCAGGCTGTGCACACAGATATAGCAACTGAAGCTTGGAACTGAAGGCTGCAGAATGCATGCACATGATTGAGCAGCTGCAAATCTGGGGCAGGAAGCCCAGGAAAAAATGAGGAGAGAGTAGCTGAGGGCTGCAGCTGGGGCATTTTAAGTCCTTAAAACAGATATGAAACTCCCCCACTACCATTTTTGGCACTCCTAACTTCCCCTCCCCTGCTCACAGCTGTTGCTGTACAAACTGCTATGCCATGCATGGTCAGTGGTGGTGCTGGGTGAGTTCCCCTTCCCTATGCCTGCCCCTTGCTAGTAGGGAACACCTGGCCAGGGAGAGGAAACCCATCTGCTGCTGCCACTTTGCTCTCTTGGGCTGATCTTAACTCCATATTCAGCCCAGCTGGAATGAGTTAGGAGTGGCTTAGGGCAGCTGGAGAGAGTTGAGGGAGTGGCACTGGCAAGCAGGGGAGTGGAGAAATGGTAGCAGAGATGATGTGCTGCTAAGCATGCAAAGGAAGATCCAGGGGGGCGGGGAGCATTCTTATCTGCTTCAGGGGACTTATACAAGTCCCAGGCTCCTACTCCCATTTGTGCTCTGAAAGGAGGGGTTCAACCATGGCACTGCATCCTCTCTGGATCTGCTCTTGTGTAGGTCTTATCAAACAAATCATTTTCCATTTTGTATAGGATTACAGGTCTGGATTTTTATAGCTCCAGGGTGAACAGTACCCCTGGTCGCTGCTCCCAAGGTGTGGTCTGCCTACCATAGTTTGGCAGGGGGAAGACTGGAAGCAGTGGTGTAATCACCCCTTACAAAATCCTGGATCTGTCCATGTACCTACCATTTTCTTCTTCTGTCCTATGACAAAAACAGTGGCCATATCTTTATCTTTGTGTACTTTGGTGTCTTTTGTCAATTTGGCAGCTCTTGGCTGTCAGAGACATTACCAGGGATCACTACGTGGAAGTGGCTCTCGTTGATCCGTGACCTACCATACATGAAACCGTGCTAACTGGCAGTTATTGTATATTAGCTTCCATTTCTTTGCTGATTAAATGTGAGTTAACCATCCTTTATTTTACCTGACATAAGGCTATGCCATTTATATTTCCTGAACTATTCCTTAGCAAGTTTCTCAATGGGTCCTTTAAGATTATTATGCAATTGGTTATCCAGGGCTATTAACCGGTAAGTGTTTTAATTTCAGCAGTTTCTTACTTAATCTCTCACTTCGTTATAGATAGTACATTTTCTATTCTATTTTCATTACCTAAAAGGATCTAAAGAAAATCACCTGAACTCCATTTTCCATTTTCATCCTGGATTTCTTTCTAAGTCATTGGGAAAGATTTTCATAGGTATACATAATAGTTAGGCACCTGTCAGTGGGCATTAAAGACCTTGCAAATTTTCTCAATTCACTTTCAAATCTCCCTTTATGATCATCATTGATTCAACCTCACTTGCTACAGGCCAAGTTTTGATTGAATTTAATTGGATGCAATGTCACTTAAGGCAATTGAGATGTGTTTAATCAGGTCTGAACTGGTCCAGCT